TTTACGAAAATTCGGGTTTTCACCTGCTATTAAGATATTCACTATTCAATCAAAATACGTCAGAAACAGTTCAGAACTTCAGAATGTAAAGTATTTAGGCTATTCTATATCCTGTTTATAGGAGATCAGGAAAGAGACTTTATAGAACTCAAAGGTTTTCTCAAAGTGTGATTCCATTAACAAAAATACGCTTTTTCCAGTTTTTCGATCTTATAATCACGTTAAGCGGACAGAATTAACCATATGCTGAAGTTCTGAACTGTTTCTGATGTATTTTGATTGAATAGTGAATATTTTAATAGCAGGTGAAAACCCAAATTTTCGTAAAACTCGTTTTTCGCTAGATTTTTAGAACTTTTTCTAAACAGAAATATTGTCACGAGACTCAGCATACTCGATTACCTATAGTCCATTTGTTTTCAAGGCTACCAATAGTTGCCAGGTTCCAGTAAGGATGAAACTATATTTTCTTTAGTTAACTAGTTAACTAGTTTAACTAGTTTATTTAGTTGTGTCGAATTTTCACTCGTAGAAAAGTATATACAAGGCCCGAGCAGCGAAAAATCAAGGTCTCGCTTCACTTCCATTTTCAGAGGGTACCTCGGGCTATCAGTCCATGAAAAAAATCAATGCAATCCTATTGGAAAGGATACACGACCTGGTTTTTCAAATATCTTCTAGAAATCCTGTTTCGGAAGACTCTTCGGAAAATAATTTTGCTGGTGGAAACATGCCCCCAAGTGTTCTCTTTTACATGGTGAAAATTGGACGTCTCTATCTTTTATCGTTCTCAAGCTATTCGAAAAATGGCCATCGGTATCGTAATTTGACAAGAATTGTAGTCAATATATTTTGCCAGTTTTGGGGTCTACTTTGGTGATTTACTGGAAACCATTCGTGTTTGATGTATTCCGTAGTGTGTGCGCTTTTTATCTTGTATCGCCAAATGATGATTGTTTTATAGCAAAAGCGCTTTAATTTATGAAAATATATGTAAAACAGTATTTTATCTAAAATCAACGTACATGTAAGAAAGTTAGTAAGGACTAAATCTATCTGATGAAAAAAAGAAATTAGTAAAAAATTCTGAAAAAAAAACCGAACAAATGTCGCACAAATAAATTAACTATTTGTACTTATTGATGACGTTGAACTAGCCGGTCTGATCGGTTTGAATGCTGAATATTCAGTTGAACCCAAACGAACGGTGGATAAAAGGGTACGATTCTTGGTTAATTCTGTTGAATCTTGTCTGAAAATGGCAAAGAAAAACGAATTAAAGACCGTAAATTAAATGTNGATTTTTTATGCCTTCTTCTTCACCTATAGAGTACTTCTTTGCCATTAACTAACTAACTAACTAACATTTTGTTGTTTGTTAGATGATGATAATAAATTATTGAAACTTCAACTTCATTCAAATTCTCAATACGAAGCAAGTATGAAACAGAAATCATTTGAGTTATTTCTAATGTCTTATGAAAAGCGTTTGTTTTCATGAAAAATTCGTATCTGATGATAAACTTCATACTTTGGATCTTGAACGAATGAGGATGAATGTTTCGATGCTATGTCTTTTGTTGGTACGATATCTGATGAAGATACCTCCTGTGAATTTATCTTAAATAAGAGTAAAAAACTGTATCTAACTTGTTTCCATTTTAGAAAGAACTATGTCTACCTCATTATGAATGAATGTATTTTCTCTGAATAATTGTGGAGGTGATTTAACATTATCTGTTAGAATTTGTGCATGTCTTTTCAATGCCAATATTTCATCTTCATACATAACAAGTTTTTCGATTAATTGACGAAATAACGAGATAAATAAATTAATCATCATCTAAATACACAAAAAAAATCTTATGCAATGAAATATGAATGTTTTGATAGTAATAAACTTACTTCAAACGAATCAATTTCTAATGATATTTTATTTTCTGTGCGTACGATTTTTTTTTTAAGAATAGATTGAAGATAATTTGAAAGATATCCAGATTTTTTATTTTGAATCATATCTGTTGTAGCTTGTGTTAAAACCGATGATACATACTGACAATAAGATTGCAGTTGCTCTTTATCTCTAGCAAAAAGATATATAAAACATTATAAATAATTGTGAACTATTAGAATAACTTTTGTACACATTTTTTCTTACTTGAAAACTAGTCTTATAGTATTTTCTGCTCGTTGTAAATTATCAACCATTTGTAAATTTGTTTCATATAAATCACAAACACGTTCGTTTAAATTAGAAACTATTTGCTCTTGATTAGTCAACTATAAACAGAAAAATTATTTATTTTTATATATAAATCAATTTCTCATTTTATTCACTTCTCTATTTGACTGATCTCGAGCTGTTTGTGTATTATTTAGAATATCTGTTATTTGTTGTAATTGTTCATTTTGTTCATTCAATATAGATTGTGCTTGTTTCTCACGAAAGAGAGCAAATTCTAATTCTTTACAAATGACTTCAAATTGTTCAAATGAAATCATTGATTCATTCTAAAAATAAAAATTAAATAAATAAAGATTGATCAGTGAAATACATTTATCTAGTTACTCAAACCTGTTTCTGATTGAATTTTAATTCTTTTTCTAATTTTTTAATTGTTAATCGACATTGTTTTAATTCATCACTATCACGAGAATTTGAATGAAGTTGAAGTTTCAATAATTTATTATCATCATCTAACAAACAACAAAATGTTAGTTAGTTAGTTAGTTAATGGCAAAGAAGTACTCTATAGGTGAAGAAGAAGGCATAAAAAATCTAAATTGAGTTAAACTTCAAAATATACCTGCTTCTCTCATACGAAGTGTTAATCCGTGCACAAGATGTTGAATAGACACATAAAAACCCTACGAAAGCCGACAATATCAAATATTATCGTCAAGATAACAGTACTATAATCTTACTTTCGATTTATTATCATTTATATGTTTGTCTAATCCTCTGGTAATTAATTGAATTATTGATGGTGCACTTCTAATATTATCGAATTAAACAAAAAGAAAAAACAGACATAGAATCCAAGAAAGATCAGCGTAAATGTTGTACGACATTTTTATACCTTTTACCGTTATTAGCATTTACGTCTTCATTATCATTATAGAGATCATCTAATTTGTATAAAAGAGATGTTAATGATGATTTTAATGCAAGAGTTGAAAATTGATCTAAATGAAATGAATTTAATTAAAAATCTTACATATTCTTTTTAACAATGACAAGTTTACCAGCTAATTTTGTTTTATTTGAACTGATTGGAAAATGTTCAATGGCTTTTTTCAGATAATCAAAATTTTCGTCATTTAACAAAGTTGATGACTCTTGAGAAAGACTATCACAATCAACATTATGAACTGAAAGAATATAAACAAAAATATATATGTTGTGGAGAAAGTACAGAATGAGCGATTCTATAGATTCCCTAATCAGTACTGAGAAGGTATAGAATGAGGTTTTGAGCCTCGCTAGGGAATGAATAGAATTTTCAAATACTATATTTCTGACTAGTTTTTCTCCCCCAAAAAACGACAAATCTTTTGAATATGGTCATTTCTATCTCTTCTCACGATATTTTGCACTCAT